CTCCCCTCCCCTCCCCTCCCCCCCCCCTCCCCGTTACCTGCCGAGAATATTAGCCGCCGAGGACAGGCCATCAAGCATATCACACAGACCGGCGGGTGTGACGGCCGCTGGTTGGCTCGACCGGGCTCGAGCGGTCTGCGGGCATGGCGCTCTTTGGGGAGTATCATGCCCGCCATTTGCCTTCCCTTACCCAGAAGCGGACGGACATATGAACCGGCATTGTGTCTCGCATCTCCCTTCGGTTCCATGCCACGGCCTTGTAGTTTAGAGGACACGGGGACTCTGCACGGCGTCTCCACGTCGATATTGACACCGGCTCAACTCGCCGAAGTAGCAACTGAGGTGTGCTGTTGTCTCGGTGGTGATATCAGAGACAAGCAAGCATCCCCTCGAGGCGGGCCGATCTCGCCGGAGAACCGGCGCGGGCGGTCGGGACAAATGTACATGCACATACACCCTCACACATACACCCCTTGATTTCAAGAGTCCAGGACACTCCAAGAAATATTGCCTAGCGTGTCAAGTATGCACTCAGGGGGTTTCGCGCTACGTGCCGGCGGCTGGCCTCAGTCACGTATATATATTTGGGTTGGCATGGACAAAGTTCAGCCGGGACCCACCACTTGCGGACGGACCGCCCATATTCCCCCAAGTGCAATCCAACCTGCGACGGCAAGCCGGTGAGCGGTTCGCGTAGGCAGCCGATGGGCAATTTCATACGAACCACAGTCGGGGCAGAATGGCCGGCGTCGGGGGGAGGACGGCCGGGTTGGGATCCAGCTCGGACATTTTGTTGTGTTTTGTTCTGTTTGCCTCTTCTATCGCTCTCTGTATTGTCTGAACTTGGCTGCAAGGACGTTCTGGACTCGCAACTAGCGGCGGGCAAACCCGCAATCGCCGTGGCTCTGTCGGGAGTTTAAAATCCAATGGCGGGCATAGCCATCAAATGATCTGGACATGCCCCGAAATTTCCTCCTTCGCGGCGCCGTCAGATCACCGACTCATCCCGGGGCAGCCGGCCAGGCGAGATTGGCCGAGATTGACTGCCGCTAGCCGCCTTCACATGGCATGGGTGACAGGTTGATCTTCACTCGCCGCTAGGATCAGACTAGAGAGCAGCGGGAGTATTGGCCTATCGCAGGTCAAGTACTAACTTTCCCGTCGCGGCGAATGCAAAATTTCAAATCGAAAGTAACAAAGGCAGCAAGACTCCGACTTTTCGTGTCAAAGAGGCCGAGGCAGAGACGTCTCACAAATGATCAGGAAGGGGACGAGAAGATAAAAAGAAAAAGAAAAGGCGCAAAGAGAGAGATGAAGAAAAGAAGAGAAAAAAAAAAAAGGAGAAAAAAAGCACCCTCGATTGCGCATGCAGCGGCTAAGTTGGTCCTGTTGGCCAAGAGTTGCGAGATGTGACGGATGGGATCCTGGCGTGAGGCTGAGGGTCGTCTGGGCCTCTCCTCTCTCGTCCCAACCCCACATCAGACAGACAGGCAGGCCCTGCTCTGGCACTAGTGGCCGGGTGGCACCAGCAGATTCTAATCTGGCGCTCGTCGGCTTTGTCTCAACAATGGGAGATATGGGAGACACGGGAGACATGGGCTGGCCTGAGTCGGTTGAGGGCGAGAAATGGCTGCTTTCTGTGTCACCCCTTTAGAGCCCCAAGAGGCTGCGATCCGTCGTTTGTTTCTCCGATCAGTGCACCCACTTCTGGATGCTTTGTCATGCCAAGCAGGGGCTACGTGGGAGGCACGTCGGATGCGGGCGAATTGCTGAGCAGGGGGCAGGCTTTTCACCCACCTCAAAAGCCACCAGCGAGTGCCTGTGCAACCCAGGCTTCGAGGACTGGGGGGGTCCTGGACACTGAGAGGGATGCGTGGCGCGCCCTCCAATGCTACGACCTGCCTCAAGAGGATGAACGCTGGGGCCCGATTGCCGCGGGCGGTCAACTTGATTGAGGTTTTGGGCGAAGATTGCGAGCGCGAAAGGCTCTGGAGCGCCTCCACGTGGACCCTGGCCACAGCCCCTGTCGGCCGACGCAAGCCAATGTGGGCAGCGCTGGTGCGTGCTGCCTTGGAACTCCCAAGATTGGTATGGAAGTCGTGTCTTATTTTGCCGTAGTGGAGCAGCGTCCGCCGTCAGACTGGACTGAGGTGAGCAACGGACACACACTTTTAGCAGACACACCACCAGGCTGGCTGGCTGGCTGGCTGGCTGGTTGCCTGCCTGCCTGCCTGCCTGCAGAGACCGACACAACACAACACACCCACGGCTGAGTGAGATGGGCGAGGCGGGCAGGCGGGGTGGGGGGACGGATCTTGGGGTTGCGAGGGCAGGAGTTGGCGTCGATTGAAAATGGGGAAGGTGCAGTCCGCAGATACCGCCCACCATTCCCACGCTCCCAGTGTGGCTGCAACCGGCCCCAGCGGCACACAGCCGTATCAAAAGGGTAACCGGTGAGCTGCCACGGGCGCCGGCCAGACGCAAGATCAGCAAACATTGGCTGGACTTGTCCAACCAGCTCTCAGCACCCCCGCCACGGCGCCGCGGCCAAGAGGAGGAGGAGGCACGCACTGCACGCACTGCACGCCCACCCCCCTTGTTCTACCCACCGATCCACCCACCCCTGTTGGTTTTCTGATTCGACACGCACCCACCAGGCCCGGCAGCCTCCAGTGTTGGGGGAGCACAATCTCCCCCATCCATTGTTCCTCTTCAGGCTCCCACGTCTCCATACTCGCACGTCGGGGAAAAAGAGACGGGTCAGAACGACAATCAGAGACAACGAACAAGATCAAAACAACAAAACGGCGGCCCAGCTTGCACCCAGCCCCCATCAGGCCCGGGCCAGCAGCCGCATTCCGATTTGTCCTGTCGGTCGCCTCCAGTTGTCTCGGAGCTCTTGCGAGTCACGGCTCTGTCTGGGCGGGACACGGACTCTACTCGCCACCCCATTATCACCGGCTTCATTGAGTCTCTGCCCGCCACCTCGCCTTGGCCTGCCTATCCATTCTCTGGTCTCAGGTGGCCGGTCGCCCAAGTCAACAGACCAGAGACCAGCTCAACACTGCAACCGTATCACTCGCTAGCTGATCTGCGTTTTCGAAGCACTGGGCCGCGCGAGAAGGGAGCCTGCGCTGTTGACTGATCAAAATTCCTCCCGCACTCGCTGGGCCTGGCTGGGACTTTTCAGAGCAAGGTAAGTGCTTCGCGCACACCGTGCTTGTCACTCCACCCAAGCTTGCCCTCCCGATCGATTCCCCGTGGCACAAGAGTCAGGCATGGGCTCTGGAATCGACTCGGTGACTGCTGGGGCGAGTAACCACAGCTTCACAAACAATTCGGCATGGCCTCTGTCAATTAACGAGACCCCTAATCCACCACACCGCGCAGTCGTGTACGTGCCTGTGGACGTGCGACGGGCGTCGTGCTAAATCTGGAGGCACGTACGGTTGCAAACGCCCAAAACGGGGTGCTGAAGCCCAAGAGGGACAAGGCACAAAAGAGAATTGTATTGTGGAGTCGGCGCATCAGGCCGGGACACATACGTTACCAAATCCACCCCCTCCACAGCAGAGGAGGGGGCCATCAAAGTCGGACGACTGGACACGGCAACCTACCGACGGATCCTTTTCCCGGAAGCTCTGATCCCGCCAGCGGCCACGACGGCACCAGTGCGCAGACGAGCAGAAACTAGGAACGCGATGGATCCCCACGCAAGCGTCATGGTAAGTCGTTTGCCTATCGTTGGGTCTTTGCCGAGAGGACCCTGGCGCCTTTGTGCTCCACGCCCTCCGGGTCTCCGTCCTATTGTTCCTGATTTTTTATATCCTTTTTTTTTTTCCCTTATGCTTTGGGCCTATTCATCCCCCATCGTTCTTTTTAACCCGCACCTTCCAGGGCCTCACCGTCCCTTCATTGCCCGCTGCATTCTCTCCTCGACGTGTCCGTCAAGGGCAGAGCCAACCGGGACATCCATGTCCACTCGCTTTCGCGGCACGTTGTCCACCAGCCTTGGTTTGGCCAAGGATTGATTGCATGTAACGTTCCACGTTCGTTGTAACTCTGAGCTTCGACGGAGTCGATGCTCAGGCTGTCAACACGTACACGGGCCGACTTTTGTACCGCTATTGCTGGAGCTAGGGAGCTACATTGGATTGGAGCTGCTCTCGCAGGGAGAAGCCACGAGCATGAATCGTATTGTGAAAAGGATGGCTGACCTTTCCCCCCTTCCCAGTCTCGCCAGTCGCCTCCACTTGGTCCTATCAGGCGGCGGTCCAAACAGCGAACCAGTCCAGTTGGCGTAGAGGACTGGTCGGCCAGAAGGCCCTGGGCCGAGTCGGATCGCGGTCAAGGTCAGGTGGGAGCCTTTTACTCATCTACACCTGATCGTGAGACGGCTATTCGGGGTATGGCGACCGTCGATATCAGTCACCGAAACTTGGATGTCACGGGCAGGGAGGGCTTGACCTCGGGCACCAGAGCGGGATCTGGCCCGCTTCGGCACGAACAGCTTGCAGGGTCCGCCGGCCCGGCCCATTCCCACCCAACACCCCAATTTAGTCTGCCCAATCCACTCGAGGTACGCACAGGCTACGATTTTGGACATCATGGGCAACATACGTCATACAGCTACCCTGCTCAATCCCCAATCCATGAAAACGGCCATCCACATCAGGAGCAGCACTCGACGTTCAACTATGCTTCTCAATCTCAAAGCCATGGACACAGCCAGCCAGCTCATGCGCAGCACGGCCATGCCCCTCCCTCGTATCACCACAGTCATCAGAACGGCGTGCAAGGGTGGTATGGCAACTCGTCCTCGCAAGCTCAGGAAGCACCTGCCGCATCCAATTATGTGCATACCACTTCCGGTGGTCGATCCCCTGACGGCACTCATCAAAGCAGACTAGGTCTGAGAACATCGTCACCGCCTTTTACTGCTCCGCTTCTTCAGGCAGAGATCTCTCAACTAGCCACAGCCACCCCTCAGCAGCTGGGGCCACACAGCCCCCCGGTGCCCCGCGACCTCTCTCATCTGCTCCATCATAGTGATGAGCCAAGGGCCCCAGACTCTCTGAACGGAGCACGGCAGTCTCACTACGGCGTCGCTTCGTACGATCCCGTCCGCGCCCACCGATATCCGCAGCACCAACAGTCCCCGGGCTTCAGTAGTCAAACCCCGTCAAGTGAGCCGGCACATTCCAGGGTAGATGCGAGTGTGCCTGTATCTGTCAACACTTCCGGAGTGAGCACCGGCGCCCTAAGTTTCTCAACATCGCCGGTCCATCCCCAGGTCACGTCAACCTACGGCCACGGATACGCGGATCATCACAAGCCTCAGCTCCCCGCCGTCAGCGCCGACCCAGGCCTTGCGGCGCCGCGAGCTTCCCCGACGTACACGCATCCGAATTACAATGCCGCGAGTTCGAGCGGCAACTATCAGTTATCACCTGCTGAGTCACACCGCACGCCTCGGGATGGTGGATATGCAGGGCAAGGGCATCAACACAGCGTGGGAGACGGGCAGGAATGCTGGCTCATGATGGGTCCAGGGACGTCGTCCGGCGAAGAGAGTTCCCTTCCACAACACACCCCGGACCAAAATGGCTACCAGCACAGTCAAATAGCCGAAAGCGCAGTCATCCCCCTCTTGACTTCGAACGGAAACGGCGAGGCCTGGGTGGACACCTCGACGGGAATGAGCAGGCAGGAAATTGAGCCGGCCGCGCATGCCCAGCAGGGTCAAGCCAAGACGTCACCGACCCCCAGCGGGAAAGGTAGAAAAGCCGGGTTAAAGAAAACCAGGGGCAAGTTCACAGATGAGAAGCGACTGGAGACTGCCCGCACTCGCAAAAATGGTGCTTGCATTCGCTGCAAGTGCCAGCGCGTCAGAGTACGTCTCCAATGCCATCTAATGACGGATCCAAAGCCCCACAAACTCTATGGCATGGACTAAACGTCTACTAACACTCTCCTAGTGCGACCCCACGGACCCCGACGATCCAAGTGCTCCGTGCCAATCGTGTCTGAAAGTTAACCAGCATTCCAAGAAGATGATACATGCCTGTATCTGCCGGCGCTATCGGCTGACGGACATGGTGCTTTCACGCCAAGGAGGACTCGGCATGACGACCAGATGGTCGGGCACCCTGATGAAAGACGTCAGCGACAGAGTTGACGATCTTGTCCGAATTGTTGAGCTCAAGATCTTCTACAGCCACCATCCTCAGCGACTCGACCTTTACCACTATCCCATCAGGTTCGCTGTGCACCGATTCCGCCCCAAAGAAGGCGACGTGCTTCATCGGAGATGGAAGACCAGGGACAACGTCCCCATGATCACCGAAATGACCCCATTCGCACTCAACGACATCAACCAGTCGGCAGCCGACTTGGACCAGTTCATCAGCGACCATGTCTTCGAGGCCATGCGAGCGGCGGTGCAGGACAGCGAACTCATCGTCAGGGAGACGTACGAAATGGCTATCGACTATTTCAGGTCGCTCGAGGTAAGAATGGGGTTCATGTCGTGGAGAAAAGCTAGGCTCTTCTTGATGCACGGACTAACAATTTGTCGGTTCCCCCTTCCCTATAGCCCGAGCATGAAGAGCGCATCTTCCTGGGTCATCTTTTCAGGCTCTGGTTTGCAATGAGTGAGTATTCCAGGTATCGTCATCGGCCACGCATATTTAAAAGATGCTGATAGGATTACCCTCGTTAGGGCTTACGACTGGCTCGGCGTACATATCCGGACAAGACAAGCTGGATATGTTTCCGGAGGCGCATCCGGACTATCCCCTCGGCGAAAGGATTTCTCTGCCACGTATGATCACGGCGCAGGTTGACAGCATCTTATCGACCAAGTTCCTGAAGCCCGGGACTACCAAGGTCACCAAGTGCCTTGAGAAATTCCTAAGGAGCAACGACCCAGCATACTGGTTCTCGCTCTATCTGTCCATCTTCATCATCCTGCATGAGATCTCCGTAGCGACCAAAGACCGAGGCAGATACGCTAGGGACAACCAGCTGCCGGTGAGTTCATCCTGTGAAGTTGTCACTGGGTTTTACATGGTGTGGCTCCTAACAAGAAGATACTTGACATCATTGTACAAAGACCCGCTTTTCCCTTCCATCTGTGGTGCGGGAACAGCATTTTGGCGCCAACAACCTTCTTGCCCACTGGCATTATTACAAGACCGAGATCGACCCGTCGAACGTCGAGTCCTGGAAGCTTCACAAGTCTTCAATGGGGCGAATGACCCAGGCGCAGAGGAGCTTTGTGTGGCGTTGGTGGCATTGGATGCGGAGGCCGGGTAAGTTGCAGCGCACCCATTTCCATCAGGGCTACAGCTTTGTACCTGGGAATTCGATTTCTGATGATGGCGATTTTCGTGCGCAGGTATGCTGGAAAGCCTGTGTCCCGATGGACAGCGGGAGCAGGAGGCTCGGTGGGAGGATCCTCTCTTCTTTGCTTGTCAGATATACATGCCTGGCTGGAGGGAGAAGGCCGTCTACCAGGGTTATTGATGCCGCACGCGGGTTGATTGGCCCCATTGGCGGTACCGCACCCCCTCACAGGGACGGCTTCTTTTTCCGGACAATGGATACACGAAATTGGGGGCAGTTATGTTATGTTTGGCCTTTGCTTTTCTTTTTGTCCATTTCCTTATATTTACAGCTTGTATTGAGTTTCCTGTTTCCCGCGCTCGTTCCGAGACGAGCTAGGAGTTGCGAGGATGATTAATGATCTGACGACCACAGTCTGGCTTTGTTGCCGACCGGCAGAAATAGCCCATGTCAAAGTCTGTATATGTAGCTCGCAAATAGAATGGGCCCATAACCTGGATGGAGTAGAGTGCGTGAGGCTGCTAAGATCAGGCTACCCAAAAGCCTCGCCTGACCCCGAGAACTTGCAGAGATAACTTGGCTTATATTTAATTAATAGAGCAAGCGAGCGGCACTGAGGCTGGCCTATTCATTCCCCTTTGGTTCGTTCCTTTCGTGTGGGCATTGGGGGCGTGAATCTGTGCTGCAAACAGGGGCAATTACGACATGGCTGGCTGGGTCTCACCACCTATTTTGGCGCTAGTCAGATACCCAGACAGACAATACCCGCAAGCCCACATTACCAGGAATAGCCACAAGGGCGAGGAGGAGTAAAATAAAGAACGTGAGCCTCGAAGCACTGAAAGGGGTCGGAGCATCGGGGGGAAATATTGAAAAAGTCTCGGAATGGAGGAGAGGCATGCAATAGGAAGAGCTGGTCAGGGGAAGCAGGGGAGCGTGAAGCAAGCGAAACCGGTGAATCTAGCGCTAGCCCGCCCGAGCCCGGGCAGGTGTCTCAACCAGTTGTCCGGGCGGGCCGCAGCGCCTGCCATCTCCAGGCTTCGTGCCGTGACCACCGCGAAGCAATGGTGTCTGGCTGGGGGCTCTGTTGGTTCTGAGCCGTGTGCGCTGCCCGCCACTGTCAGTGGCAACAAGACCGGTGCCTGGCCAAACATTGGGGGGCTGAAAGGCGATGATGAGATCGGCTAGAAAAAAGAATCAGGCCCTGGGTCGGGATAAAGGGGGCAAAATAGGGAGCGTGTTCCACTGGCCGCCCCCAAGACCTGTCTCGGGCAGGGCGAGATTCACGTCCACAGACCCTAATACCTGTCAAATTCCGAAGCCGCGTGCCACGATGGGGACTCGGATGCAGCCATGGCGATTCTTTCTTTTTCTTCCAGAAAGGCTCGCCTGGCTACACCGAACAGAACGTTCTACCGCACCCCACTGAGCTCGGGGGCACCGGTTCACTTATCAACCTGGCTCTTCACAATTGTGCAGAGCTTGGACTACACGATCTTCTCAGGAGCTCGACGCCTAAATATTTATGCAGGATATAGTGGACAGTTGTCTTTGTGCATATTGTTCCTTCGGCCTCCCGTGTCACCCCTTCGCAGCAAGCGGCCGGGTACCTACTCGCCACGGTCCCTCCACCTCGATGCGTGTGCGTCGGCGTCACTTCCCATATGCCCGCGAGACGTCCAAGCCACATAGCAGCAATGCCTTTGGGTGTTAGCAACCGGCTCAGTCCACGTGCATGCCATGCCATGCGAAAGTGGCGTGCATCACTCTGCTTTCAAACCAGCCGATCAGGACTGCCTCAGCCACTCGCTGGCCGAGGACCGATCAAGGCAGGGGTGGTGTCTGGCTTCTGTCCATTTTTCGTTTTGTGCATGTCTCCCGACGTGATAGTATGCCGATCGCAAGCTCGCTTACATCAAGTCGGGGAACCCGCTGGCCGCAAGCTCTCGATAGGCACTCCTGAGCGCCGCCACGGACAGTCGACCTAGCGTAGAGGCGCTTTCTGAAAGCCCACCTGCGACTTTGTCCTCCGTGCGAGGAGGAGCGATGTCGCAATTTGGACTTTACCAGAAAACGGTGTGATTTCGGCCGGGTTCCTAGCGACCAAGAGACCCTTGTTGAGACTTTTCAACACAAAGAAAGGGAAGGGCATGTGGAAGCAACACGCGGGTGTTGTTGAGAGAAGAAAAAAAGAAGCAACCGCCACAGCTGGAGGTTAAAGTAGCATAACGACAGAACTGTGTCATCTTTTCTCTTCCAGCAAGATAGCAAGGAAGCAAAAGGACCCAAGCTTGGTGGGGCGACATGGGGGTGAGCCAGCTTATCGTTATCGTAGCTATCGTCACGTGTCGATAGTCCGAAGAGCGGCTTGATGCGGAGGGGGTAGGTGTCCTCAAAAAAGCGCCCGCTAGCGGATGCGCAAAGGCCATGCGCGCGCCCTCTCTGGACTTTTTGGCGCGATTCACTCTTTACATACAAACCACAAACCAACGACCCTCAACTATCGACCAAAGAATCGCCCATTGCACTCTTCACGGCAAACACGTATCTATTTCCCCTTGAACGGCTGCGCATTCCAACACCGAGCGCAGAGCCACAGCCGACCAAACCCACAACATCGTGATTCGGCCCGCCCTCATCAACCATACCACGACCCACCACACGATCGCCTCGCTCCGCGGGAACCACCCTCAGGGTGTGCTGAAGACGTGACCGGGGCAAACAGGACTGGAGATTCCCAAGAAGCATCCCGCACGGCCTACACAAACAAAACCCCCCTCCGAACCCCACGGCAGCAGCAGCAGCCGCCGCCGCCGCCCACAATGTCGGACCTCGACACATTCACGCAGCTCCCGATCCAGCTGGACCCCAAGTCCAAAGCCCTCAGCAGCACCTCCGGCGGCTCGCGCGCGCTGGACGCGGAGCTCGCGACGCTGAACCAGCTGCACCGCAGCCTCCTGGCGCTCGAGACGCCGCACCCGGTGCCGCCGCCGCCCATCCCCGTGAACCCCAAGCGCAGCGCCAACGTGTCCAAGCTGCGGGACAGCGGCAACTCGGAGTTCCGCAAGGCCCGCTACGCCGAGGCCGTCAAGTTCTACACGCTCGGCGTCCAGATGGCCCTGACCAGGCCGCTCTGGGAGCCCCAGCAGCTCGTGCGCGAGGAGGCCGCGGGCCTGCTCGCCAACCGCGCGCAGTGCCACATGGCGCTCCGCTGCTGGGCCGAGGGCGCCGTCGACGCCGAGGCCAGCGTCGAGGCCAAGAGGGCGGGCAACCCAAAGGCCTGGTGGCGCCGCGGCCGCTGCCTCATGGAGATGGGCAGGCTCGAGGAGGCGCGCGAGTGGGTCGGTAAGGGGCTCGAGATGGAGGGCGAGGAGAACGAGCTGGTGGCTCTGCTCAAGGAGATCGATGCCAAGCTCGCAAAGGAGGCCAGCGCGGAGTCGTGATTTTTGAAAAAAGCTTGCTTGTGTTTTTTTTTTTAGTTTTTTTTTAGTTCCTGTTCCGTGCTCTGGCGAGAGCGGCTGGCTAGGCTACGACAATGACTTTTCTTTGTCGGCGGAAGATGGTGTGTATTTATCTAGGTACCCGCCTACGTAGGTGGGTATGCATGTCTGGCGGTGCTTTCATCTATCCATACGGCAAGAAAGCACCCAAGCGAGCCTGTGAATAGAATACCTCTTAGATTTTATTTTTCTCTCTCCAAGACGGTTGGCCGCCATTTAGATTCCTGCGCCTCATACTAAGTACGCTCTGCAGATGTGGCGTGAAACGTGCATGGGAACACGAAGTATTCCCGCTCACATGGATGTGGGCACCACAGCCGTTATTGAAAGCATGAACAACAATCACAAATAGCAAGATAAAGGACAAAAGACACAAGATGAAGATGATGCTAATGCTGATCCAACAAAAAAAAGTCAACAAAAAAACAACCAGTAACCAAATCCCAGAAAGCCTAGTGACAAATCACCCACCAAATGTGATGCATCAAAGACATGAAGACTCAGATGAACTCATGGCTCATGATCTCGACACATAGAGCAATACAATAGATCCACAAGAACCCCTCCCCGCAGACACGAACTTGGTAGCCGAGATGTCGAAAATGACAATAAAAAGATAAAGGTCCCCCCTTCGGGTCGTAACGAGTACATGTCCGCAACCGACAGATCGAGCCATATAGGGCTGCCCATGATGGGGCTGATGTCTCGACCTTGGCTGCCAGTGGATCTGGCGCGCCTTTCAGCCCGCACCACCTCATGTCGCAGCCGATCCGCAAGTTGGAGCCACCTTGGGCCCATGACTGGGGTATATATAAAACAATCTCCCTCTCATCCTCACCCCGAAGGGGATGTCGTGGTATCGTATAAAAATCATATATCGATAGGACGAAAAACTAGGGGGTGATGGAGATTGAGAGGAATAGGGAGAGAGGATGAGTTGGCATGAGCCGTTTCGAAGCCGTGTGTATGTTGTAGTATCGAGAAGCGTCCCCATCGATTCACAGGCGAAGGATTTATGCCTTCTCCTTCTCGCTAGCGGCGCTGGAGGTGGTGGGAAGCGAGATGGCAACGGCCGACCCGCTAGTGCGCTTCCGCATGACGGCGTCCTGGCTCGTCATCCTCCGGTCGAGAGCACGATCGAGCTTGGCGCCGAGGGCTAGTTTGGACATGCTGGCCCACTTCTCTTCGCTCAGGACGACACGCTGCTGGGTCAGGGCCTTGTTCTCCATGCGCTGCAGGCCCTTCTCGATGTCGGTGATCTCAGCCGTGGCCGAGTCTGTGGTCTGGACGGTGGGGGAGTATGATGGCGCCATGCTGTATGTGCTCATGCGGACTGATGTACGGGCCTGCATGGTTTTGGTGGCGGTGGCGGTTCGGCGCGATGGTCTATTAGCTTCGGTCGGCGCTTCGTTTAACCGGTACCTGCGTGTGTGTTGCGTCCAAACCACGTGGTGTCGCGGGTGGATGAGAGGCTCGGGCTTGTGAAGATACTGTGTATACGCCTCGGAGGTGGGGTGCAAGGTGATGGGTGATGGGGTACGGCACAGGAGGAGTGGGTAAAGAAGGAGCGTGAAGCAGCTTTCGGGGACGGAGGTCGCGACGTTCAAGTAGCAAAACCAAGCCAAGATGCGTCGCATTACGGTCGGGTAGAGCGCAAAGCGGGCACACGCCAACTGACGGACATGACTGATGGATTCAGGGAGCTCGAACCAGGCAGGGTAGAGGGGCCGTGCGAGAGGCGCAGAAGCAATACGTACAGACGCAGCCATGATTGGGCGGGCGGACTCGAGCGACGTTGGCATTTTGATGGCAGGGCCGACGGCGGGTCCAGTCGCTCTGGCGGTGGGTGGTGCTGCTGTGGTGTTTGTTCTCTGGGGCGAGCCCAAGGTCCGGCAAAGGCTGGTCGAGGTGCCGCGTGCCTAGGCCGGGTGGAAACACAGACGCTTGGGATCTGCCTGGCGAGCGGGAGAGGATGGCAAGAGACTACGGCCAAGGTCGGCAAGGCCGCACGGGGGGCTGCTGCGGCAACAGATAGGGAGGCACTGGGAGGGACCGAGACGGCCGGGGTTGTTGGATCTTGGATCTTGGAAACGAGGCGACGCCTGAGGTCCAAGGGGCCGGCAGTCGATTGACAAGGCGAGGAGAGCGCGGACGGACGGGCAGAGGGGCGGGCGACACTGGGGGGATCGGGGCAAGATTGTCGGTCGGTCTGGAGAGGTGAGGTGAGGAACGGGATTGAATGTTTGGGCCGACCCATCAGTCATATCCGTTAGGAGGGGGTGTGGATGCGTGCAGGATTCCAGATAAAGAAAGAAAGAAGAGCTGCGTCGCAGTGGAGCAACGCGGCCCCTGCCATGCTGGAATGGCCCCCCGGTGGGAGCGGTGGGTTGCGCCTCCCTGTGGAGCGTCCTTTGCTTTTCCTTTGGTCTTCGGTTGGTCTTTCCTTTGGTTTGGGCACGGCGCTCAGGAAGCCCAATCAGCGGGCAATCAAACAACAGCCCAGAGCACTCAGACAGAGATCAAATTGCGAGTCTCGCGTCGGTTCGCTGACGCTCAAATTGCTGGCCATGCAAGCCCGGACGACCGAAGGAATCAGGATCACAGAAGCACGCCTGGCCATCAGCCAAAGCTTAAACGGGCAGCCTGATTCGACAATGCGTGCAGCGAGCACTCGGCAGTTTCACCCGAAGCGGCAGCAGGCTGCACGGCGGACTGTGGATGTGGAGATGGGGAAAAAAGGAAGCAAGAAAAAAAAGCAAGAAACAAAAAAACAAGAAAACAACACACCACAGGCAGTAGCGCACGCACCTCCAGGACAAGTGTTTCAACCAACAGTAGAAAACAGGGGGTGTTTGGTTGGCCTGAGCTGGGCCGGTCCATGCGCTTTCTCCAGCAGAGACATGGCATGGACGGACCGCGATGCCCTTGATGGGCCCATTCTCAATCAGGCTCACTTCCTTTAGGCACGAGACGGACGCCCTTGTGGCAGCCACGTGTCGCCCGCGCAAAGCGAGCCCGGATATGCCTTGTGCGCGTTGGTCTGGACTCTCTCTGATCAGCCGCCTCGAGCTTTCCCGCGGCTCTCGCGCTCCGTGTCCTGCCTTGTCGTGCCTGTGGTGCATGTCAGTCACGCACATCGGCCAAGGCCAAAGCGCGACGCAGGACCTGCCTGCATTATACTGACAAGGCACACCCGGCTCGGCCATCGACGAAGTTTTTTCTCGTCTATTTAAGGCACATTATCCTGGCTGCCCGTCGGCTGCTTCCTGAAATCCCTCCTGCTGCTGCGGCGGCCGGCCGAGCTGTCGTGCCACATGGCCCAGCCCGCCCACATCCTCCGACGCATCCCTGCCCCGTGGAACGGAAAGGGGGGGGGGG